ATAGGTACAATGCTATAAATTAGTGGGAAAGGATTTGTTAGTAATGCCGACTATCAGTCTCATTGCCAGCAATAAACACTGACAGGTCGACTTCCACGTGGTCCCCCCTGGAAAGCATCGTACTGAATTCCAGGTGCATTTATCACGATGGGCTAACTGACCTGCTCTTTCATTTTCAGTTATCATCTCTCATTGGTGCCCCGCCGGTGTATACAGATAGCGCGGCGGGGTTACTATTCCATTATCATTTATTAAAATAAAAAAAAAATACCGTTGGCAATCCACATTTTATTTTATTTAATATTTCATTAACATTGGATAGTTGTTAGATAAATAAATAAATAAATAACATTAATTAAATAGTTACTTACGTTTAAAGAGAAATACTGCTGCCTATCCCAAAAATTATTATTTTTAAAATTTTTAGAAAATTCCCATCTTCCCTTTTAAGGAGAGGAGATGGCAACTAACTCCCGGCAGAAGCACAGTCGGCCGGCGTTTAGAGCCCTAGGGAGAGAAACCGGCGTATAATGCGGGCAGAATCTAAGAGCACCGCTTTCTGCATCTTTCCCGGGAGTGAGTCGCCTCGGAATACCAACCGTCTGAGATGTTGTTCCAGACTGGTTGGGATAGGACCGTTCACCGACAATTATTATTGTCTGCTATTAACTGTCCACTGCTGAACATACAGACCATCCCCATAAGGAGGGTTTCGCTAATAGTTGCCACGCTTGGCAACGGCAGTTAGGCTTTGGTTATATTTTAATTGGGACACTGGCGTTCATTCCTCGACTATTAAGTTCCCTTAGTCGGTTTTTACGATACCCACGGGAAAGGAAGCGGTGGCTCATTCTATGCTGGGACCATACGGTGACTTAAAATTATATGTTTACATTGTTTCTTTTATTTCCTCATATAGCTAAGGTACAACAATATTTATTTATAATATATATATAAATACTTGAATTATGACTATTTTTAGCCGTTTTCCTTTATATATATATAGAACAGTGGTAATTAATTTTATTCCTACAAAAATGTATATACATATATTGTATATATTTCTCTATGCAACTTAGAATGGTAAACAAGCTGACGCCCCACCTGATGGAAAGTGGTAAACGTCGCCTATAGACATGAGCTGTACCGTAGACATAACAGAGTATACTGTTACGTCCATGATACCCCCCATGCGTTGCCATTCCTGAAGACTCAGGTGTTATTCCTCTGTAACCAGTAAATTCACTGCCATATCCTATCCTTCAAACCGAAACACAGCCATGCAAACACAACTGCTTCACGGTAGAAACACGAATGGGACAGAGGTGCCCAAGCAAACGACTTTTGTACACAGTCTCCCTCGGGTATCTCTCTCTCTCTATGTTTCTAGTGCAATAAGTAGATAAATAAATAAATAAAATTAGTGTTAGTAAAACTAACCCTAAGTTAAATAACGTCTCATTATCCTTCCTAGTATTATGAATGTGAATGTGTTTTTTTTTTTGATGGGTGAAAATGGTATGGTAATCCCGCCCGCGCTAACGGGATACGCTGGCGGAGCACCAGTGAAGGGTGATAGATGAGAATGAAAACAGGCCAGTTAGTCCATCGTGATGAATTCATCAGGAATTAACCATGATAGTTTCCGGGGAGAAACGCGAGAAGGTCGACCTGATTGGGTATATTGCTAGCAATGAATGTGAATGTGTTTGTTTGTTACTTTATAACTCCTTAATAGCTTATCACTATGACATTAGGTATATACGTACTACATGGGATGGGGAAGGATATAAGGGTACTTTTTTTTTTTGATATAAATGGACCAATTTAATGCATTGTTTTCATACCAAAGGTTGATTGGTAGAGAATGCTACTAGCATTGAGAGTCTGCCTTTTGTACCATATTTTACTTTGGTCAAGAAAGTTATTTAATTAACTAAATAAATGTTTGGTTACTTTATATATCTTAAAAAATATTTGTTGGAGACCCCCATAGGAACGGCCATGACCGTTAATCTTTAGGGGGTCACAGTATAGTTTGACAAACACTTATAGATTATCCTTAGATGTGCATACATAATTGTCAAATCGGCCTTTCCGTACTAGACATTGAAAGAAGGAAAGAAATTTGATAACATACAAATAATATGTACTTGGAGAGAAAGAGATTGTTAGTAATGGAGACTGAGAATCCCATTGCTATCAATATACCCAACCAGGTCGACCTCCTCGCGGTTCTCCCTGGAAACTATCATGTTTAATTCCTGATGAATTCATCATGATGGGCTAACTGGCCTGTTTTCATTCTCATCTATCACCCTTCACTGGTGCTCCGCCAGCGTATCTCGTTAGCGCAGGCGGGGCTACCATACCATTTTCACCCATAAAAAAAAAAGAAAAAAAAAGTACTTTTAATATTAAAATGTGTACCAAATAGGACTCCATGTTGGCATTAATGGATCTATGGAATGGAATGCATGCATGGAAAGCTTTAGTTAATGACTTAATTATTTAAATTGAACCAAACCAATTTAGTTGATTGTATAAGTAACTATATTTACATTTTAAATGTACCAGATATTTGATTATTAGTTTTAGAAATTGGTTTAGTACATTACCAGAGACTTTGTACAACAGTCGTTTGCTTGGGCACCTCTGTCTCATTCGTGTTTCTACCGTGAAGCAGTTGTGTTTGCATATCTGTGTGTCGGTTTGAAGGGTGGCATATGGCGTGAATTTACAGGGTACAGAGGAATAAAACCTGATTCTTTAGGAATGGCAACGTATGGGGGATATCATGGGCGAAACAGTATACTCTGTTATATCCATGGTACTGCTCATGTCTATAGGCGACCGTTACCACTTTCCATCAGGTGGGCCGTCAGCTTGTTTGCCATTCTAAGTTACATTATACATACCAGTATTTAAATTAACAAATTGCCAGTATGAATAGGTTTTTGTGTTAATTGGCGTCACAGTATATTCTGTAATGTCGATATGTCTATAGGCGACGGTGACTTTCTACAAGGCGAGTATAAGAATCGAGTCTGTTTCGATGCGTCATTACGATTTGTAAAAAAAAATATTATTTTGCTCTTTTTAAATTTTACTGTACTACTTGTCTTTTCTGCTTGATTACTGCTTGATGGACGAGAACACCTTTAGGTGTTTTTATAAAATACATTTCGACTTTTCAATCGACTTCAAAATTTTTTTATACAACTTAGAATGGCAAAGTTAACCGTGGCCTATAGACATGACCATGGACAAACAGACATATATCGATCCCTGAGGAAAGTACTTCACGAATGAAGTCATACATTGATTGTTTATTAATAAAATGACAATTAATTATAGAAAAAAAATATATAAAAAAAAATAGTAAAAGAGGCGGTCGGTCGTCGGTATGTATGTAGTTACGCGTACGAGAGAGCGGACAGCGTGCATAGGATTGTCAACTTTTTTTTTTACAAGAAATAAAGTATATTTTGGTCTGAGAAGAATATTAAACAGCATTTTAAAAAAAAAAAATTAACAGTATTTTATTTATTTAATGTTTGAAATACATATTTTTCTAGAGTTTCTCGCACAACTTATTAATTTAGTCTTTTTTTTTAAAACTTCATACAGTCTCACTACAGTTATTATAACTAAAAATAAATGAGAGGCTTATTTTTTATTAAATTAATCTGCACTGAGCGTCCTCTGATTGAATAAAAAAAAATGTGTGAGCGTCTAAGTCGTAACTCTTATAGTGTTAAGCATTTTGATACTGAACACAGTATTTTGTATACTTGAATGAGCTCCCTGCCGAGGTTTTCCCAAGAGACTACAGCATGGGGTTCTTCAAAAGGGGGGTAAAGATGTTTCTTCAGGGTCGGCAATGCGCGCGTAATACCTCTGGTATTGCAGGCGTTCATAGGCTACGGTAACTACTTACCATCAGGTGGGCCGTATGCTTGTTTGCCACCTCAGTGGTATAAAAAAAAAAAAAACTTTATTCTACAGTAAACAGTATAATGTAGTGATAAACACTAGAATACTATTTTTAAGGGGGGAAAGGGATTGTTAGCGATGGGTCTTAACAGCCCCAATACTAGCAATGTTACTAATCGGGTCGACCTCCACGTGGTTCCCCCTGCAAACCATCGTGGTTACTTCTCGTGGAATTCTTCACGATGGGCTAACTGACCTGCTTTCATTGTCATCTATCATCTGTCACTGGTGTCCCCGCCAGCGTATACCGTTAGCGCAGGCAGGGTTACTATTGCATTATCACCCATTAAAAAAAAAAAAAACTATTTTTAACAGTATAGTTGGCAACCCTAGCGCGCAGGCTAACGTCCCGTATAGCAAACTTCGCTAACGAGACACATAACGGGCCTCGTGTTTCTGTCATTAGAGGCAGTTATTTAGCAAATACCTTAATGGAAAACAGGCGGTTAGGTTTAGGTGATGTTTTAACAGGGATGCTGCTGTCCATTCTTCGACTATTAAGTTTGCTAAGTCGCCTCTTATGACATCCACGACACAGAAAGTGGCCCATTTTATGCCGGGACTATAATTTTTAAGTTGAAAAATGAAAATGAAAAAATATTTATTTCGTAACAAAATTGATACCATACTAAGATCGTTGTGGTGACCTTCTGGTAAGTGTTATCACCTGTATCAGAAAGTCACGCTCCTCCATAACCATGCAAATACAAATCATAGTACCATCAAATTAAGACATAAACATATACTTACCAGAGGGAGACTTTGTACAAAAGTCGATTGCTTGGGTACCTCTGTCTCATTCGTGTTTCAACCGTGCAGCAGTTGTGTTTGCATAGCTGTGTTTCGGTTTGAAGTGTGGGATATGGCGTGAATTTACTGGGTACAGAGGAATAACACCTGAGTCCTTAGGAATGGCAGCGCATGGGGGGTATAATGGGCGAAACAGTATACTCTGTTATGTCCATGGTACTGCTCATGTCTATAGGCGACGGTTACCACTTTCCATCAGGTGGGCCGTCAGCTTGCTTGCCATTCTAAGTTGTATAAAAAAAAAAATCCTTTTTGACTTATGTATATATAAATTGCATAATTTCGCTGTGTATTTTTTTTATGTAAACTTTAAAGGTAAATATACAGTTATCACGCCATAGATATAGTATCTTGCGCCGCGACGCGCCGTGAATCAAGCGGAAAGGTGATTCACTGGCGACTCGAGAGATCGTAGGTGACCGTTATGATTTAAATTGTAAGCCGCGGCGGCAGCTGTCACAGCATGCGCCACACGAATTGCGGTACACACTTTTTTTACAACACAGGGGCCAAACGAGCACGCGGCTCACCTGATGGTGAGTGACTACCGCCGCCCATGATCACCCACAACACTAACGACATTGCAGGTGTGCTGCCGGCCTTTTAAAAAGGAATATGCTCTTTTCTTGAAGGTTACGATGTCGTATCGGTTCGGAAATAATGCTGCTGGAAGTTGATTCCAAAGAGTGGTTGTGAGTGGAAGAAAGTGCATTGAAAAACGCACGGTGGAAGATCGCCACTCGACCGGATGGTTGGGATGAAACTTTAGTTTATGGCGGATTGTACGGTGGTGAAAATCAGCAGCAGGTATTAATCCGAACAATTCCTCAGAACACTTATCTCGAATATCGAGATTTATGAATGCTAAGAACAAGGAATTACATAGAAGAAGTGATAAAATAGTCAATTCATAACAGGCCAGTGTATAGAAAATGTTATACGGCCGTATAATAACCCTACCAAATTCAGACACAACCTGCTTGCATACTTTCTACATAAACTGTGTCGAATATATAATCTAGTAATGTAAAATTTGTCATTGACAAATAATTGACACATCAAAACATTTTCTATACACTAGTCTGATATGAATTGAAAAAAGTAGCAACTGATGGTGTATCTTTCGTCCTTTTTTTACTAATTATATTTGCATAAGAAGAAAAGAGCCAACTATATGATGTGCAGTTTTTATTTTATAATTCCTTCTATGTAATTCCTTGTTCTTAGTATGAATGATATTTTACTTAATTGTTGCGTCAAATTTTTTTTTGTAGTCTATTTTAATAAAGGGAATTATTGATACAAAAATATAACAATTTAAGATTTTGCCATTTCGGTATGTGGATCTTTTTTTTTATACAACTTAGAATGGCAAACAAGCTGACGGTCCACCTGATGGAAAGTGGTAACCGTTACCTATAAACATGAGCAGTACCGTGGACATAACAGAGTATACTGTTTCGCCCATGATACCCCCCATGCGTTGCCATTCCTGAGGACTCAGGTGTTATTCCTCTGTACCCTGTACATTCACGACATATCTCACCCTTCAAACCGAAACACAGCCATGCAAACACAATGGATCTGCGAGTATATTTGAAAATAAACCAATCTCCTGTCTATTGAGACTATATTTCTATATCGATTCTTCCCTTGGGGGAAAGGGATTGTTTGCAATGGAGTTTGACAGCCCCATTGCTAGCAATATGCCCTATCAGATCAACCTCCACGTGGTTTCCCCTGGAAACCATCGTGAACCATTCTTGTTGAATTCGTCACGACGGGCTAACTGATCTGCTTTATACCCACCTATCATCCTTCACTGGTGCCCCGCCGGTGTATACCGATAGCGCAGGTGGGGCTACCATTCCATTATCACCCATTTAAAAAAATACTTCTCTTTGTGTTTTGTATTATACTAACAACCAATAATTTTCAGTCAAAAGTACTTTTGACTGATTTTGCTAGTCAATAGTGGTTTTGACTGGTTAAGAGTTTTGACTGCAACATATATACTTTTTTAATTTATTGTGAGAAACAGCGGAGTTTATTAAACAAGTTTTATGTTGTAAAAAAAGGTGATGATAGCTGAATTAGTATTTGAATAATCGTGTCGCGGAATTTGAGAATTTAATTGCAGAACTCGTCTCTACAGTCTAACGGGCCAGTGCATCTCAACCTGTTTGCTCGTGACCCCCAAAGGATCGTGGACTTGCTCCGAGAGGATGGCTCTTAATAAGGTGTGTTTTTTTTTATTATATTACTGTTTATTCCAATGTTGCGTTTGCGTCGTGTACTTGGATAATATAATTGTGGCTTCTTTAAAAAAAAGCCAGTGTTTTTCAACCTGTGGCTTGTGACCCCATGGGTTTTACTACGCGAGTATGGCGGTTGTTTTTCATTATGTTTTCAGTTATTATTGTTTTTGTAATTCCCGATTAAGTTTTATAGCGATCCTAGGGATCACACCTTTGAGAAGTTGAAAAGACTGTTCCATATAATAGGCAGCCATGGGGGGAAAGGGATTGTTAGTAATAGGGTCAAACAGCCCCATTACCATATACCTGTCATATACCCTGTCAGGTCGACCTCCACGTGGTTCCCCCTGGAAACTATTGTGACTAATTCTGGTTGAATTCGTCAGGATGGGCTAACTGACCTGCTTTCATCCTCATCAGTCATCTATCACTGGTGCCTCGCTAACGTATACCGATAGCGCAGACGGGGTTACCATACCATTATCACCCATTAAAAAAAATAGGCAGCCATGATGGTATTTACCACGATAGATTTATGTTTAAAAAAAGTGTCCACGTCCAGACTGCCTCTCGTCTGCAGCGGAAATATTATAAAATACCCAGCACTTTGTTTATGCGAACCGATCACGCCGTCCACGTAACTAACTAGCGTCTCATTATTTCGTTCCACGCCACAATTCCTTATAAAAACAAACGGACGGACTAATTCATTCATACCGGCGCACGTGGTTAATATAAATTAAAAGTCACGCTAGATACTAGTATATTGGGGTAGGGGACGCGGGGCCTTGACACCGAATCAGTGGACCGTTAATTTTTCACTTTTAACACAGCAGATGCACACAATTAAAACAATACAATGAGCTTTTAAGTTTAAACCATTTTACTCGTATGTGGTCGCAACAGTACGCCCAGCGTCTTGACGTAACGGTCGTGTTGTGTTGTTAAATTGTGCAATTGTACACGGGAACCGGTAGTGCGGGGTAATGACATCGAACGCGGTGTTCGAATTTTCAAAATTCGAACTTGGAATACGAACCGAAAATGGAACATGGGAACAAGGGAATGGAATAAACGATTAAATAAAATAAATGCGTTACTTTTATATCCCTTTCAGACCTGAACGATACGGGCGTGAGTTGTAACTTTAAAAAATTCTAAAACCGCGCGCGCAATTCATTTTTACGCACGAAGCTGTAATAACATGATAGTGAGATTCTAAACCGGCCAATAAGAAATCATTCTAGCGGTTAGGTGGTGCAGTAGTCTCGTGCGCGCCGGCAAGATGGCTTGGCTCCAAAACACGAAAATATATTTATTCTAAAAGAAAAAAGTCTTGGGTCTGAAAGAGATATAAGTCATTTAAATTTTAAATGAAATAAAAAATGAGGTCATTATTTTATTTTAGCTTTTTTATTAAATTAAATTTCTCCTGTTACATACAGTGGACACTATGCTAACATATAAATAATATTAATTAATAAATTATATTAATTAATAATACGTATACGAATTCTCAAGTACTTCGGCCATATCATCCGGAATGAAGATTGTATGGAACGTTTAATTGTCCAAGGAGCGGTACAAGGCAAACGTTCTCGGGGTAGATCACCGACGCGATGGACTGACCTCATCAAAACGGCCACACAGCAGTCTATTGTGGAATGCTCTCGCTCGGCGGCGAACAGAAGTAGATGGAGACATATTGCGAGGACCTCAATCGCGAAGGAGAGCCTCACCGACGATCCACCGTCATTGTGAAAACCACGACCACTCTGCCAAGAGTGTACGACTGAAGAGAGAGAATAAATTATATGAAAAATGTATATGAAGGATCTTAACAAGATCAATAGATGTCGAAAAAGTAATTTTTAAAAATTTTGTCTGTCTGTATGTTTGTCATCAGTTTGTGCCAGTATCACGCTAAAGTTACCGCATCACATTGGATGCGGTTTGGTTCACGCGAACGAATCGAGAACTGCTCCTTTTTGAAGTCGGGTGAAATAAGTAAATTTTAATTAATTTCCTCATTAAGATTGTGTAATTTGTTATCTTGTATTATGCGCATATGCGCATATGTAATGTAACTTCTCTTTTCGCTACACTTGGCCTGGAAAACTTCATGACTTTTTATTAACCGACTTCACAAAAGGAAGTGGCTCTCAATTCGGTTGTCTTTTATTTGTCTTACCTCAGAACAATGGTCATTTAAAAACTTAGCTAGTTTTTACCCGCGACTTAGACCGCGTGACCGGGATATGTTTTTTTTAATGGATGATAATGAAATGGTAGCTCCGCCTGCGCTATTGATATACGCTGACGGGGCACCAGTGTGGGATGATATATGAGAGTGAAGCAGGTTAGTTAGCCCATCGTGACAAATTCAACAATAAACCAATCACGATGGTTTCCAAGGGGGTTCCCCTGAGGGTTCCCCTGGCGAGGAGGTCGACCTGATAGGGTTTATTGCTAGTAATGGGGTTGCTAATCCCCATTACTAACAATCCCTTCCCCCGACCGGGATATATTACTGACTGGGATAATAAGTACCCTATATCCTCCTCCATCCCATATATAATAGTTTGTGTATACCAAATTTCATAGTGATTGGTTAAGTGCTATAAAATAATAAACCAGTGTTTTTCAAACTTTTTCATGACGCGACCCCCTTATTAAGTACAAATATCTTGTGACCCCCTACCCTCCACGGTTTTGAATGTGTATCAATTTTATTATAGTACAAATTATGAAATCCGTACAGTTGTATTCACTGTAAGGTATCGATAAAATAAAATAAATAATACTTATGTGTAAAGTATCTAAAACAGCCATGTAACCGATGTCTGTTATAGATACGTCATTATGTATTATTGATTGACTGATGTATTTACGGAACTGTTGATTTTTCACTGCTTCGCGACCTTCCGCGATCCCCTTGTAGAGGCTCGGGGACTCCCCAAGTGGTCACGACCACACTTTGAAAAACACTGTTTCAATATAATAAACAAATAAACCCACTTTTATATTTTCAATACATATTAATAAGACCAGAGGGAGACTTTGTACAAAAGTCGATTGCTTGGATACCTCTGTCCCATTCGTGTTTCTACCGTGAAGCAGTTGTGTTTGCATGGCTGTGTTTCGGTTTGAAGGATGGGATATGGCGTGAATTTACTGGGTACAGAGGAATAACACCTGAGTCCTCAGGAATGGCAACGCATGGGGGGTATCATGGGCGAAACAGTATACTCTGTTATGTCCATGGTACTGCTTGTCTGTAGGCGACGGTTACCACTTATTATCGGGTGGGTCGTCAGCTTGTTTGCCGTTCTAGGTTGTATAAAAAAAAAAAAGAATTTAGATTTTTTTAATCGAAAGGATGTACTTTTAGTTTGGTCCCATAGAAAGTTTATCAGAATCGATTTAGCAGTTTATTTATTTAATTAAAATGACTGTTTATGCCCCGGTTGAAGTCGGATGTTTTTTTTTTATTATTTTCATGCAATTGGACACGGGACTTGGGGATTTATAAAAAAATATTTGTTGTTAAAAAAAAATCGTTTCTTTCATTGCAGAAGAACTGTCACAATTTCTGAATGGCAATGGACTCTTACTCGAAGAATTGACAATTGACAGCGAAGAAAGGTCGAGTGGCGGCCTCGTCAGGCAAACGCAGTGTAAGTTGCCTTTACATTAGATGGTGTGATGATTCAAATGTATTTGAATTGAATGGCGTGAATTTACAGGGTACAGAGGAATAACACCTGAGTCCTCAGGAATGGCAACGTATGGGGGGTATCATGGGCGAAACAGTATACTTTGTTACGTCCATGGTACTGCTCATGTCTATAGGCGACGGTTACTACTTTCCATCAGGTGGGCCGTCAGCTTGTTTGCCATTCTAAGTTGTATAAAAAAAAAAGAAAAGCATATGTAAATTGTAATACCATACCAGCTGTTAATTAGTCCTCTACTAGACCAGTAGTTGCCACGTTTGGCAAGCGGGTTGGCAACCGCAGTTAGGGTTTGGTGATGTCTTAGAAAGGACGCTGCTGCACATCCTTAGACTTTTAAGTTCCCTTAGTCGTCTCTTACGACATCCACGAGAGAGGAAAGGGGTGACCCGTTCTATGCCGGATATATATATATATATATATATATATATATATATATATATATATATATATATATATATATATATATATATGATTGATATAACGAAATATAACAGTGGAAAGCAAATGTACAAAGGTGCGCTTAACTATACGACAGTTCAAATATATATACTGTCTTTTGCCCGCGACTTCGTCCGTCTGACCTGGATAAAAAGTACCCTGTATTCTTCTCCATTCCATAAAGTATGTGTATACTAAAATTCATAGTGATTAGTTAAGCCGTTAAGGCGATATAAGGTAACAAACAAACTCACTTTCACATTTATAATATAAATTAGTAAGAAAATGTGATAAATATTTAACAGCATGAAATAATAAAAGGTGTTACTTTTATATTTTGGCTACGGAACCCTAATGCACTGCGCAGAAGATGGACACAATTTCCCTTTATTTCCCTTTCCTCTTCTTCAAGACTTTAATCTTTGATGCAAATAACTTATATACGTACACACAGAAATGCATACTAGTGCACGTCATCGGCATACACGAAGGGAAATTTTGTCCACAAGATGTCCATCATTGGCACAGGCCTTTAAGGTACTATTTTCAGGTACCGTACTTAAAATGTTGACGAAAGAGGTCATTCACATATCCGTCTGTCACAGTCTTCGTCACAGATATTTATCTTAGAGAGCGTTTGACATTTAGATAGATTTTGTAATGTAAGACATTATGTTGAGTTGCACTTTTCAATCGACTTCAAATTCTTGTCTCTCAATTATGCTGTATACATGTTTGTAACCTCATAACTCCGTCAGATGTAAGCCGATTTGGAAAATTGTTTTTTTATCTGATAGGACACACTTACAGATTGGTCCCATTGAAATTTTATCAAAATCGGTTCAGTAATTTAGTTTTTAAATCAAAATAACTGGTTTTATTATAATTTAAGTCGGTTTTTTTTTTTTTGTGGGACACAACCTCTATGTTATTCCAATATCAGTTTTTATAGAAACAGTTTGGAATAATTTGCAGGAAAATTACATTTTTACAAAAAAAAAAAAATGTTTTTATATAATATAATAAGCATTAAAAGGGAATATGACTCAAAAAAAAAATCGACGGCTTCAATTAAAAAAATATGATTATTATTATGTCGGCCATTACCTGTCCACTGCTGAACATAGGCCTCCCCATAAGGAGGGGTTTTCTTGTTGCCACGCTTGGCAGGCGAATTGGCAACCGCAGTTAGGCTTTGATGATATTTGAAGGTGGGCATTGCTGTCCATCTCTCGATCGTTAAGTTCCCTTAGTTGGCTCTTTCGACACTTACGGAAAAGGAAGGGGTGGCTCATTCTATACCGGGACCACACGGCAATCTAAATTTACCATATTATCTACGGCAGTGTTTCCAAATCTTTTTTGTACCCTGTCCCACTTGAACATTTTTAAAAATTTTATGCCCTTAATTTTTCCCTTTAAAGTTTACTTGACGACTCTAACCGCCTAGTTGATATTTTGGTAACGTCAAACGAAATTATACCTAAATAAATATTTACAGCATTTTTTTATTTACTTTTTTTTTGTTTAATCTGGCACCGATATCTACTCGTGGCATTGCATTTAAATGGCCCGGAGCAAAAGGGTTAAAATCGCTTCGAGTCCATTTTTTAATTGCCCCTCCCCCCTTAACTATCAAACTGCGCCCCTTGTGGGGGGTGGGCCCCACGTTGGGAAACACCGATCTACGGTAACCGCGTACATCAGATGGGCCGCATGTTTATCTGCCACCTCAGTGGCATAAAAAATCTTTAATTGGTCTATTTCCTTGATTTTTCTACTTCTGAAATACATACGAAGTAGCGGGCTAAAAGCTAGTCTATAAGTAAAGATGTAATGGAAATGACTTTTTGAACGATGACTCATAAGAACTGGATTTGAACGGATGACCTCGTCTACCGTAACCTCTTAGACGTATTGTGACATGAAATTCATTGATAATTGGCAAGCAAAGAACATAATAGTAAGCTAGGACTCTACATAGAACCGGTTCGAGTCCGCCGTCCAATATGGGAGTGAATAGCCCATTTTTTCCTTTATATTAAAATCGTGTAAAGGTTGGATCAAGTTTCGGTGGGAACTGCGTTTTAATCTTTCGCGACTCGATGCGATTATTTTGCGACGACAATGATAAGTCAGTATAATATAATTATATATATATATATATATATATATTTTTTTTTTTTTGTTGGATATATACCCCTTTATTCGTAAAAAATGTCAAACTCCCTATAAATGTAAATTACATTTATAGAGAGGCTTCTTTTGTTTTTTTTTTCTTGCGCTAACATCTCAATTTGAATCACTAATATCTAATAGATAAAATATCTAATATAATTATATTATATATTATATATATAATTCCGGAATAAGAGAAGGCGAGGGATGGTGTCCCTTTTAAAGCTTAACTGCGGTTGCCAATCCGCCTGCCAATCGTGGCAACTACTGCCAAATCCCTCTAAGGGGGAGGCTTATGTTCAGCAGTGGGCAGTTAAAAGCTGATGATATAATGAATTTGTAGGCCGTTTTAGTTTTTATGAACATAGGGGATTACTTTAGTGCTAAATGCCTAATTTATTATATATATATTTACAATTTATATTCAACGAGGAAATATCTGCATTACCATCAGTCCCCAAACTAGGCCAGACCTGTATCTTGGGGACTATGAGTGCGATTACCTATTTATTAGTACACTTTATTTACAAAAAAATAAAATGAATAAATAAGGAAAACTATGTAAAAAGGTGAGTACATGTGTGCGTGCGTGCGTATATATATATATATATATATATATATATATATATATATATATATATATATATATATATATCTATATACAATCACGTGGACGACCTGTGATCTTTCCCTGAGTGGGATAAATTAAACTACTACTACTACTAATTCGACAATTAGCTGACAAAAAGTTGACCCGTTTTTAAGGCTCGATACTCTCTATCTATATAATCTAAGCTTTCAACATAATTAAACTATAAACAAATTAATATTTGGCCCGACCATAAGACAGTCAGCTGATGTCCAATAGTACGTACTAAAAAAAACTGTTTCAATTTATTTCTAATTTCATTTAAG